TAGTATTTACCTGGAGTACAGCTCAGTGGTGCTATGACTTGTAGTATTTACCTGGAGTACAGCTCAGTGGTGCTATGACTTGTAGTTTTTACCTGGAGTACGGCTCAGCGGTGCTATGACTTCTAGTTTTTACCTGGAGTACAGCTCAGTGGTGCTATGACTTGTAGTATTTACCTGGAATACGGCTCAGTGGTGTGACTTGTAGTATTTACCTGGAATACAGCTCAGTGGTGCTATGACTTGTAGTATTTACCTGGAGTACAGCTCAGTGGTGCTATGACTTGTAGTATTTACCTTGAGTATGGCTCGGTGGTAGAACAAAGCCAGAAGCTGCAGCAGGTCATACAGGACGTAGCCTTCCTTCTTCTCGACCCCCAGGATGTTCGGGGGGTGGAACGGTTTGGTGCGGTCCACCTCCAGCTTCTGGTTGAATGGGAAGAACCCAAACTGGAAGAAATACTTGATGACAATGGTCACCTGAGGACACAGACAGGCAGACTGAATGTAAGACATCCACCTGGTGACAGGTGAGTTGATAACGTGAGATGACAGCAGCAGACTGAACCTCAGTGTAGATGATGGCTGTCATCCAGAAGGTCTTACTGGGCCGAGGGACGGACAGGGTCGCCCACAGAAACACCAAAACAGGAAGTACCAACGTCAGACAGCTGGCGGACACCATGTGGTTCAACACGATGACCAGGTAACACACCGTCTCCGACCTGACAAAAGGACTGTCTCAGTATCTTAGCAAGCCCAGAGGAGTGTGTGGTGTTACCTGCGGTGCAGAGCTTACCTGGCTGCCAGGATGTTGTAGAGTGCGTAGCACAGCTGGAGCAGCTGGTGCTGGTTGATATAGAAACGGTCCGATGCCTCCAGCTCCTCGTCATAGAAAGTCCTGAAACACAGAGTGTGAATCAGCAGCAGGTCACAGCTAAAGGATCTCTGAGACTCACCTGGGACTTACCTGTTCCTCAGCAGCTCGCTGGCTGTCAGCTCCTGAGTGCAGGACGCCAGCGGACAGGAAGTGGAGGCCGAGTCACACAGGAAGTCACTCCTCCCCCCTGGAGTCTGAACCAGCTGCTGCCTCCTGGACCCCTCCCCAATCTGCTCCTCCTGCAGGTCCAAGCCCAGAGCGAGGCTGTAGGAGGGGGGGAGGAGGAGTGAGGAGGGGGAGGTGGGGGAGGAGCCGCTGGTGTGAGTCGGCTGTGTGTCAACAGGTAGTTGCTGGTTTGATTCCTCAGCACTGTTCAGACGACAGAGAGAAGGAATTGATACCACAGACCAGAGAGTGAAGATGAACTTTGTTCTGTTAGTGTTCCTCCGAGAGGACGGACCTGTTAGTCCTGCTCATCCTGTCCTCCTCCGAAGACGACCAAGACTGGACTCTCTCCATCCTGGACAGTTTGGGCCGCCATCTTTGGCTGGTTTTAGTCACAAAACATTCTGGGTCACCTTCTGCTGTCACTGCCTCTGGTTTCACTCCTGAGGATGGGGCCTCTGCTGAAACTGGTTCAACGGGACCATCGTCTCCTGATACTGGTTCTGCTTCTGTGTCCAATGGATCTCCTCCTGAAACAGGTTCTGGTTTTGTCCTACCTGGACTATCTCTTTCTGTTTCTGGTTCATGTGGATAATCTCCTCCTGGTCCTGGACCTGGCCCTGGTCCTGGTTCTTGTCCTGGTCCTGGTTCATCAGGACCATCTCCTCCTGGTTTAGTCTCTGGCTTCTCACCTGCTTTTTGACTTCCTGTTTCTTCTTCTCCAGTATCAGGACTCACTTCTTCTTTTTCTTCTTCTTCTTCTTCCTCCCTTCCACTCTCTGCTGAGGTCTGCCCCTCGGCCTCATGGGTGCTGGAGTCTAGGCCAGACTCTCTGGAGGTTTTAATCATCTGTTCTTGGTAGTAGACGTGGATTGCCTCTCTGGAGGGAACATTACCCTGAACAGGCAGGCAAATAAAACACTGATCAACACCTCTGATGATTCACATGACTCCTTCATCTTTGTTGAAGTTCTAACACCTCCACGTGTTGTGGCGGTCTGTAGTCCTGAACACATACCTGCTTTGCCTGCTGCGTTAGCATGCAGCGCTCGATGCGGAGGACAGTGGAGATGTCGATGTGTTCCTGACACAGACCATTGAGCCAGGTGGTCAGAGAGTCCAGCAGAGCCGACAGCAGAACCCAGCAGAACTGCAGCGTGTTAGAGAACCGATGCAACACCGTGTCTGAAACACAAAACGTCATCTGGTGGTCACAGTGATGGTAAAGGTGTTGCTGGGTGACAGCGTGATATGCTCACAGTTACGAGACTGTATCTAAAGTTTGATGGTGTTTATCGAACCTCCAGTTTATGATCTGATTATTGAATCTGAATCTGTCCGAATACCCTTTTAACGGAAACTAACGTCTCATGCCAGCGTCATCTTGACGTAGAATACCCACGTCGTGGTGAGGTCTGAGGAACAAAATTCAACGTCCACACCACGTTAAATTCTGACGTACTTGGTCATTTAAAATATCATCAACCGAAATGTAACATCTGTCCAACCTAAGAGTCCAACGTCTGTCTGATGCCAGTTAACACATCCAGTGTCAGCTGGGTTAAGGTGAGACATCACAGGTGAAAACAGATTTTTAGGTTTATTGTCATTCAGATTTTTGTTCTGGAAATTTACACAAAAGGTGCATTTTTAATTACACGATGACTCATCTGCATATTTAAACAGAACATTTTAGAAAACTTATTTGTCTAACTGTACAAAATCAGCTGGTGAAGTGTCATGGTGGTATCTATCAGTTACATTTTTTACCCTGAGGTTTTATTTTTATTTTTTGTTTCAAATGTTTGGAAATTTGACAATTTTAATCTCTAAAGTCTGATTTCTCAAAATGAGTTTCATTCAAAAACAGTTTCCACATCTGTGGAACATTTGAATATTAAAAACATGAAGAACACTGGTTCTGTACGACTATGATAAAAAGAGAGATCCTAAAAACCTCTGACTCTGATGTGTCGACAAAATCAAGCAAGAATTTTGAACGGGGGTTTATCCAGTGATCACATTTATGTTCTGGACATATATGTAAATCATTGCGTATTAAGCCTCATTAGCATGTTGCAACCTAAAATTTTAGAGAACAGAAACAACCCGAAGAAGTTTCATGGTGATATCTGTGAGCTCAAACACTCTGTAAATGTCTCAGTCGTGCAGCTTTGGCCTGAATGTGACCAGAGAACCAGGTGAACGCAGAACGTTCAGGTTCAGAGTTCTCAGAGAACCAGGTGAATGCAGAACATTTAGGTTCAGTGTTCTCAGAGAACCAGGTGAACGCAGAATGTTCAGGTTCAGTATTCTCAGAGAACCAGGTGAGCGCAGAATGTTCAAGTTCAGTGTTCTCAGAAAACCAGGTGAGCGCAGAACGTTCAGGTTCAGAGTTCTCAGAGAACCAGGTGAACGCAGAACATTCTGTTCCAGAAGGAGGAGAACATCATTTTAATAACTTTAAATTAAAAGACTGTTCTATTTGTGGTTCCTTTGTTGTGCAGCACTGAGCTGATGACTAACAGGTGTGGCAACTGAAGCTTCAGGTGACATAGGCAGAGCGATGCTCCGTCGCACTGGTTTCATCAGTATCACCTGTACAGGTTTGTTTCCTCTGTTCATCAACACTCAGACGACCGTAGTTGGTGCGTAAACGTTTGTTTAACAGCAGCAGAAATATCGCTGAGCTACGAGCAACCAAGCTGTGATGTTCCAGCAGCAGCAGTAATCCATTCACAGATTCATTAATTAATCATTAAACAGTAGATACGGTTCTTTGTTTCAGTCCTGTCATGTGGTGACGCGGGGTCGATCTCTGCGTTGTTTATTTAGAAGATTTTGTTTGTTTACCGTCTGAACGGCTCGATAGCAGAAATTGTATTTCAGAGATTGTGTGAATGAAAAGATTCGAAGTCCAGAAATATTTGATTCATTAACGAGATTTATGATTTTCAGTCTGACTGATTCTGTTCAGGATTAAAAGTTCCAGTAAAAATAAATTATCATTAACAAATATTCTTCAAAACAAAACATTGATATTTTAAAAAACTGGACTAAACACGTTTAATAAATCTTTGATTCTGTTAACGACAGTGTTGAGGATGAAAACACGATATTTATCAATTATTAATCATCTGATTTCTGTTATTGAGTTGTGAGTTGATTGGTTGAATTAATGGACATAATTTATGTTTTCAAACTCTTAAATAAACGAAGGAAACCAGTGGAGTCGTCTGGCGTCCTCTGCTGTTGTCTGTGCTGGGTGGAGTTCAGGCGTTGAGGCTGAAACTTAACACTAAAACACTAAACACTAAAAACTAAAACATCCTAAACAGTTCATCACGTAACTCGTGTTGCACCGTACATTTAAATAAAGATGTTTATTGTGGCCTGAGCGCCGAGCGTAGGAAGTCGATAAGGCTGAAGCTGAAGGACTTTTTATCCGATGTTCAGAGACTAGTGAAAATTTACACACAAATATTAGAACTGGTGGATTTTCTGAGGCTCAGCAGCGCCCCCTAAAGAGTCTCAACAAAGCAGCTCTATTCGCAGAAATTGGTGTTCAAATGTCCAGATCTAAAAAAGTACCCTCAACCCAACAGGAAGTCAGCCATTTTGAATTTACTGTGCAATCATTGTATCTTTGTGACCATTTCTACAGGTTGAACTTTAACGAACTCCTCCATGTGACCAAGACGAGGTGTCAAATTCTACGTTTCACCATGAAACAGGAAGTGGTTTGTAACTGCCCTGTAGACGATCCAATCTGCCCCAAACGTCACACGTTTGATGACAGTCCCGCCCTGAACACATCCACCTGCCCATAATTACTCATTGTTATAGTGCCACCTACTGGCAACAGGAAATGACACGTGTTATACATGGCTCTGCTCCTTGATCAGATCCACCTCAGATATGTTTTGATAAGTTTTAAAACCTCGATGAAGCTTTCTGGTGAAAATTGTGTGTTTACATCAGGGTTGTTGCCACAGTGTGGCGGCCATTTTGCAGGTTTCCCCATAAAACAGGAAGTTGTTGTACCACCTACTGGCAACAGGAAATGACATGTTTGCAGCTGACTGTAGCTCCACTTCAGATGTGATCAGACAAACATCAACATGTGTCAGTCCACTGACAGTAATGACAGCCACACAGAGACGACTCAATGTCATATCATCTCCTTCACCATAATACAGCTATGGTTTTTAATATGCCTGTGGATATTCTCATTTATCCAGGTCATAGTTATCTCAAGGCAACTGAATCGAACGCAAGTGAACTTAGTTTTGTTTTTAGTTTTTAATATTGTGATACACATTGACATCACACTGTTACTCATGACAACAACAAGCATGGCTGAAAGCAAATTAGGGGCTGTACACATGCTGCACACATGCTGCATCTTAAACCGCCTGGAAAACATGAGGTTGGGCGCTGGGCGCTCCTCTAGTGCCCTCTCTGTGCCAGCTCTAAAGAGCCTGGCGGCAGGTTTTGTCTAGGGTTGCAAAACAACCATAACCAGCACCGTATCACAGCCTGTTTACCTGAAAGCCTGACGTCAGAGCTGACCTACTTCAATCAATCAATCAATCAATCAATTTTATTTATAAAGCCCAATATCACTAATCACAATTTGCCTCACAGGGCTTTACAGCATACGACATCCCTCTGTCCTTATGACCCTCACAGCTGATCAGGAAAAACTCCCCAAAAAACCCTTTAACGGGGAAAAAAAACGGTAGAAACCTCAGGAAGAGCAACTGAGGAGGGATCCCTCTTCCAGGACGGACAGACGTGCAATAGATGTCGTACAGAACAGATCAGCATAATAAATTAACAGTAATCCATATGACACAATGAGACAGAGAGAGAGAGAGAGAGAGAGAGAGAGAGAGATGCAGGTAATGACAGTAGCTTACAACAACATTAATGAAAGTAATAATATTATAGTTATAGTTCTGGCTACTGTGGTACAATATGTTGAAAGTATGTATTAATATCTGACAGTATACTTGTGTGACAATAGTCATATGTGTATAATAACAGTAGAAGTATGACTAATGACTAATGATGGCAGCAGCAGCAGGAGGCATCTGGCAGGACCACGGCAGCAGCACAACCACACACGTCACGCTGTCCAGGCACCGCTGCGATATGAGTTAATCTGAGAGACAGTGGAGCACAAAGGCTCCGGAGAAGAAGCCGAGTTAGTGACATCCAGAATGGCCGAGTTAGCAAGATGCAGTAATAGGATGAGAGAGAGAGAGAGAGAGAGAGAGAGAGAGAGAGAGAGAGAGAGAGAGAGCCCGGTGTATTATAGGGGGTCCTCCGGCAGACTAGGCCTAAGTCAGCCTAACTAGGGGCTGGTACAGGGCAAGCCTGAGCCAGCCCTAACTATAAGCTTTATCAAAGAGGAAAGTCTTAAGTCTAGTCTTAAATGTGGAGACGGTGTCTGCCTCCCGGACCGTAACAGGAAGATGATTCCACAGGAGAGGAGCCTGATAGCTGAAGGCTCTGGCTCCTGATCTACTTTTGGAGACTTTAGGGACCACGAGTAACCCTGCGTTCTCAGAGCGCAGTGTTCTGGTGGGATAATATGGCACTATGAGCTCTCTAAGATATGACGGAGCTTGACCATTTAGAGCTTTATAAGTTAACAGTAGGATTTTAAATTCAATTCTGGATTTTACAGGGAGCCAGTGCAGAGAAGCTAAAACAGGAGAAATATGATCTCGTTTCTTAGTTCCTGTTAGTACACGTGCTGCTGCATTCTGAATTAGCTGGAGAGTTTTTAAGGACTTACTAGAGCTACCTGATAATAGAGAGTTACAGTAATCCAGCCTTGAGGTAACAAAAGCGTGGACCAATTTTTCTGCATCTTTTCGGGTCAGGATAGGCCTAATTTTCGCAATATTACGCAGATGAAAAAATGCAGTCCGTGAGGTTTGCTTTAAATGAGAATTAAAAGACAAATCTTGATCAAATATTACTCCGAGGTTTCTTACGGTAGTGCTAGAGGCCAGAGCAATGCCATCTAGAGAAACTATGTCATCAGATAAAGAGTCTCTGAGTTGTTTGGGGCCAAGAACAATAACTTCAGTTTTGTCTGAATTTAACATCAGGAAATTGGTGCTCATCCAATTTTTTATGTCTTTAAGGCAGTTATGGAGTTTAGTTAATTG